AGCCCTGGAAGTGCACCTTCTCGCCGTTATGCACAAAGTCCCCCTGGTCCTTCACTGAGGATGCCCTCGTGCTGCACTCTCGACGTACTCCCCCTCCCGGACCCTCGGCTCGTTCTGCGCAAACTTGCCCTCTTCCCCCTTCAGGAATCGCGGCAGAGAGGGATCGAGAAAAGGCAGGCCCCCGGGTTGAGAGACCGGCTTGGCGGGGTGTAGAAGAAAGAGAAAGAAAGAAAGGGGGCGGAAGCCTCCCCGGTCTCTTGAACCACTCACGGCTTGAGCTCTCTCTCTCTCTCTCCCTCCCTCTCCCTGTCTCTCCCCCTGAATTGCGGAGTTTGTTTTTTGTCTTCTTCGCCAGGGCATAGGAGGCGGTTTAAGTGTTTTTTGTCTCTCTCTCTCTCTCTCTATACGTATATATACACACACATAGGTAGGTAGGTAGGTAGGTAGGTAGGTAGGTAGGTAGGTAGGCAGGCAGGCAGGCAGGCAGGCAGGCAGGCAGGCAGGCAGGCAGGCAGGCGGGTAGATAGATAGATGGATGGATAGATAGATAGATGGATTCATAATGGATATAGTCACCTAGTTACGTCACGTGCGAAGCGCATTCGCGCACAGAAACGCGTACTGTTCTGGATAGTGTTGTGCAGGTGAGGGACTGTCCTAAAACTAACATTGTGAGCAAACCACGAGGTCTTTATGCGCAGCTATCAGTTTTTAGCCGTCGAAACGAACCGAAGTCCTGAGGTTCGGACTTGGCAAGGCTTTTGTGCAGGGTAGTCCCTCTCTAAGAAGCATCAACGGGTTGTCTTCTACTGCGTCTGTAGGAAGTTTATTATTCGATCTGTCTCTATTTCCTTCTTGAGGCGCATCTAAGAAGGACGACCGTGCATTAGTGTGTCTTGGACACGCCACCATTAACGTGCTCCACTATTTGCGAAGTAGCCCGAGGCCAAACCAGGAAGTGTCCATGATCAAGGCCATCTAAAACGAGGGTCTTCAGCTGAGGAAGCTTTGCAGCTGTGGTGTAGATATCCTTCACAGGCAGTATCTTGTCCTTGCCCATGAGGATCACTGATGAACCCTCAGGCAGCATTTCAGGGAAGATCACGCTGTCGGTCCAGAAAAAATGCCTCATGAGGGTTCGCGCAATGCCAAACTCTCTGGCGCCAAAAACGCGCAGCAGTGCACCCATCAGTGATCTCGGCCGCTTGTACAAGAAGTTTACACAGACATCCGGCAGGTTCAGCAAAATGCAGACCGGATCCACAAGCACACATCGCGAGATGATTGCTGGCTTATACCGGAGCAGCCATGCAACGGGCAGGGTCCCGAAGGAGTGACCAAGTGCAACGCAGGACGTCAAGCTGTGCTGCTCCAGAACTTCCACCACCCAGTGTGCGTAGTCGCTCGAGGATGGGATGGCTGCAAACGGGTTCATGGAAATCCTGGGTTGTGGATGGACCCACAAGCAGCCGAGCAGCCCTTGTTCCAAAAAAAACTCAGGCTGGCCCTTTTTGACTTACAGGATGGTTTTGGAACCATGCTACAAGACCTGGGCCCAGCATCCAGGGCAGTTCGAAGAGGAACTGGTCAGGAGAGCCCAAGCGCAGCAACAGCGGCATGTACAGAGTGAGGCCCAAGCCGATGCCTAGGGTTCGGGTTTTTGTGCTTTATTTTTTTGTCGCCCCTTTTCCTCTACAGTAGCAACTGTGCTTGCTGTTAGAAGGCCTGTCAGTGGAGGCTCTGGTGGGATTCACCACTGCCACTTCTCTTCCCCCTACCGACGGTCCCTCAAGAATAGGCCCTCGAAGCTACTTACATCATCCCCAGACCCGACACAAGGTTTCAAGCGCCGGGACCGACTCAGCTCCCTGTCAAACTCCCAAGACCTAGCAGAAAGCAGCCCCAGTCTTGGGTTCAGGCTTCTCTAGGGGATTAGGGTGTAGGGCAGCACGAAGAAGAAGATTACGAATCCTTCGAAACACCCAAGATGCCAATCGCAAGACCCCAACAAATCGCATGAACCTGGGTCTCAAGATGCGGATCTGTTGCCGTGGAAGAAGATCAGCGGCTGCTCCTCGGAGGAAAGAAGCAGGATAATCAGGGAGCAAAGCCATGTAGAACCACTTATATCTGGACAAACAACATATGTCCCACTGGGACACAGTCTGCCGCCGTTCCGGTCAAAAGGCATGTTGAACAACCTCGAGCAGAAACAGAAATGTCTAATGTGCTAGACATGGCTTCATCCGAGAATCCGGGGATTCCAAGCAATGAATTCCTTTGAAACCGCTCCGCAGGCGGTACCAGTACCTTTCAGGTGACGTGTGCTTCTCTGTAACGATGGAAGTCTTCCCGGCCTGAGGCCATGGTGGTGTGCGCGCTTGAAGCCCCGTGCCATCCTCGCATGAAGCTCCAGGTTTGTTTCGTTTCTTCCTTGCTTCAGGGAAGCACAGACAAGCCAGAGGGTTCAGGAGGGTTTCGTCGTTTGACATTCTTAAAGCTTGTATTGTCGGGGTTGAAGGTCTTGGGCTGCACGTCGAGAGCAAAGGAGAGCAATGCGTGTGTCCCCAGCATCGAGTGGTGCAGCTATCAGAATGGCAACAAGTCTCGACCTCAAGTGTTCAAGAGGAAGTGCATGTGTGCTCGCACGCTGCAGGGAGGTGTGTGCGTGTGTACACTTACACATCACCTATATATACACACCTCTGTTCAAAATATGTACATGCACGCATATGCTCACAGAATGTAGAACACGTAGACATATACACACATGCATACCTCATGTCACTTTTCCTCAGGCTTCATTCGGGGTGTCACCGGATGACTGTTTAATTTCAGGCATGCGCAGCTCAAAGGCTACACCGCCACATATGTGTCTGAACAACTTTCCTGCGGCCAAGCAGCAAAAGGCAACCGTGCATGAAGTCTAGGGCACGGATGACCTTGAATGAACCCCCGCTCTGGTCGCTCCCGGTAGTTGAATTCACAAAACTTGCCAGCTGGCATGGCCGAAGACAGACATCCTCGCTGAGGATCGTCGAGTGTTTCTTCGTAATTCTCGTTCAAGAAGTTCGATCATCCTACATACATCCTTGCGACCAAGACCAATCGAGGCACCAAGTCTGTGACAACACCTTTGATGGTTCTGCAGGTGGTCGGATGAAGGAAAAGTAGTATATTCCAGCAAGGTGGTGGTGAGGACAGCAACAATCATCTTTGTAGTAGGATCGAATAGGATCGACTAGTATGCATTTAAATTACCACGTCTCAAGACAAAACAACATGCAATCCGATTGCTAGACTTCTTGCCTTTATGCCGACCCATACACCACCAAAATTCAAGCAACGTGACAGCTGCCAGAAATGGGATTTCTAACCAGAAGAATTAGAACTCGAGGCAGCCACAACAAGCAAGCCGATGCGATACCATCTAGGAAAACTATGAAAACTGTCCACAAGTCCACAGATTCGCAAGCCCAGCAGAAACGCCAAGGCCCTGCACCAGTCTACCTTTCTGTCGACAGTGTCGATGCGATGCAGCACAGCTGCTGTATAGAAGAGCAGTGGCCGATGAATGCAATGGATCTCATCGAGCGTGTGCCTGTTCCAGATGTTGCTGAGAGAATTTCCATGTATCGACACCTAGTGCAACTGCAATCTCAACACATGTACTAGCACCGGCAATGATCATAGTCGTCGTGGCCGCGGCCACTAGTCAGAAGAGTATCATTATCATGCGAAGCAGAAGACCATCAAGACAAAGCAATATACAACTTGCTAGACTCTTGATACTGAGCAACAAGAGACAAGTCAAAACAGCTCGATGTTCGGACAGCATTGACACGCCTGATCGGAACCGCCCCGGTTCTGCCGGGTCGCAGCTTCTCATCCATTCGAAACTCCTCAGAAAGCCACGCGTTTCTGGTGTCAGCAGAGACAACTCTCGACACCCCAAGACGGAAGATTGTGCAAGACCTGACAGCAGCCTGCAAGCAATAACTCGCAATGACACCTCAAGCACCTTCGAGAAGTGTCGACCAACATGAAGCCAAGGCTCAGAACTGATTTTTTCGTACCTTGATGCCGCAGCAGACGACATATGCGAGCAGGTATCAAGCTCACAGGTGGCTGGTGGTGATAGGCACCGAATGTCATCTGCTTACGTGAAAGCTAGCAGTTCAGGAACTCGCTAGGCTTTGCAAGTGATGCAGCCAAGGCGCGTGAACTCGGTCCAAGCGACCTATCAGAACTGCCGCGACAGTCGAATTGCAAAAGCCAAGCCAAAGATTCGACCATCCAGCCTCGTCAGAATCCAAGTCCTCAAGCTTCTTGTAGAAGAACGCCCAAGCGATCATATCGGTCAACTCATCCCGCCTTGGGACGTTCGGAGTTCGGTGTGTTGGGCTCACAGCGCTGCAAGAAACTGGACAGCACTGATGACTCTGCAGGAGCCCTTCCAGCGGCCAGCTGGGCTGTGATCGTTGTGCTGTGGGATGGTGGGGCAAGGGCCAGTGACTGCCGAGCAGCCCAACCTCATGCGGGCTCAGGAGTCGGTCTCGGTCCTCTGTCAGGAACCAGCCCTGCACCTGACGCCACATGCCTCGGCGAAGAACACAAATGGCACGCAGCTCGCAGCATTTGATTCTGAAGCCGGGAGGCCGTAATCTTCAGCATGGGCAACCATCCTATCGACGACAAAGTCTCGATCCTGCACCCAGATGAGTCAGCGCAGTGCTCAGTCCATCAAAAAGCTAGACTCTAGACCAGCCTTCTCGGAGACCAGCGGCGGTGGCTTTATCCCCTGGGCCTCCATGGAACCGAAAGCTCTTGGAAAGCCCACAGCGCGTGACGGCGAGAGCCGTTTCGAGGGTCATGCAGCTGGGAATCTGTTTCGTATCTTTTCTGCACACCAGGTAAGAGATTCACCCATCCCTGACATTGCTTATCGTCAAGCAGTTTATGCCCCTCGCCGAGTGCATAGTTGAATCAACAGCTGCTGGTGCTGGCGAGGCCTCCATGAGTGCTCGCCGGTACCAAACATAGAAGACGAGCTCGCCTCAAGGACGGGCCATCGAATGCCTCACTGATCCTCACTGTTTGCAAGAACTAGAAGCTGCTTTGACGTGTAGCCCGCGCTCTCCCAAAGTGTTGTGGGTTGGGGACAGCAGGAAAGCAACAGGCTATTTCAGGCCAGATGCAAAGAATCCAAGCCTGAGCTTGCGGCTGAAAGCAACAGCTACTGGTAGCAGCTGCTGCCGCGGACACAGCAGCCACAATTTTAGCCACGATGCACAAAAAATGCCTGCGCAAGCTGCCGGCCAGTAGTCCACCTGCCAGACCAAGGCTGGCACCAGGTCCTTGACTGAAAGCTACGCGCAGACAGGTTTCGTCGTCTTGCTCCCTGCGCTGTCTAAGCTACCGGCTGAAGGCTGCAGGAATCCGACGCCCGCACCCGACATTGCGTTATTGAGAAGCGCGTGTCGGCTGATGCATTCGCCAGTACATTATGCCAATACGGTAATACGGCTTCGGGCTGCTTGAGAATCTCTGCGTCTTTCGACGCATTCATGACCATACATTTCACAACAAGGTGTGGTGTGTTAGCTAACCTTCAAACGCAGCGGCCAAAGATGGTCACAAGCTCACGCTGCAGGCGGTTCAGAAAACTCTTTTGGAGGCACGTCCTTCAAGCTGCCCTCTGGGCCGTGTAGGCAGACCTCCACACTTCAAAGGCTCAAGCATCACAGCATGCTCTCGCCACTCTGGTCTCCTGAAGTAGATCGAAGCCGAGAAGTCTTTGCGCCTGTGCAGGGCAGGGCAGCGGGTGCTCCATCGAAAAGTGAGGAAAAGGAAGGATGCACTCAACGGCCTCGGACAGCATCGCCTGAATCTCCGGCAGGTCTTGCACGTCGCACAACATACCGACATACCTTTAAGCAACTAGGAAGGGTGATGACAGGCTTGCACTTGCACAAATCTCTTTCTCTGGGCCCAAGCGCGCTTCGGTATCTGATCGTCTTCGATGCTCTAACGCATGCAGGCTGAAAGCTACTTGGGGTTTGGAGCAGTGGCAGAAACTTTACTCCGCTCACGCTCTTGTGGTTATGGAGGTCCTCGTGCACAGTCTTGGCAAGCTTTGAAAGTCTTAACATTAGACTGCCTGCAGTGGTAGCAATCGCGACTGCTGTGCCATGACTTGCCCGAGGGTGTAGTGTACATATCGCGGCCAAACTGCGATGCCGACTCTTGCGACTGCAGTCTTCGTTCAAGGCGCTCGATCGTGCGATAGGCGTTCTCCCGGAGGTTGCGCTGGTGCTCAACTTCAAGTGTGAGCTTCCTCACTTCCGCCGTAAGCTGCAGTACTTCATCGTCCTTGTCTTCAGCGTCCAGTGCCGCAGAGTCAACATCCATAGCAACTGGTGCCAATGCCTCATCGCCCGGTTCGTCGCTGCTCGTAGTCGAAGATGTGGTCGAGCTTGTCGTGGTAGTCCGCGGAAAGAACCAGGCGTCGCGCAGTTTCCACCACCAATACTGCATCGAGCCCCATATCATCCATTCCACGCCAATGATGACGAACGCTGTCATCATGAGCCAGTGCCAACTGCCATCATCTGCTGTCGTAGTAGGCGCCGCAGTGGATGTAGTAGTGGATGCCGATGCCAACGTAATGGTCGCCGCCAGTATGCATGCCGTAGGTCTCGAGGAGGTAGAGGTACACGCGAATGCCGTTCCCAGGGTGGACACCTGCTTAATGATCTCCTTGTCGGTCATGTCCAAATGACGTTCTTCAACTTGCTGTAGTCGTGGTAGGCGGCGGAGAGTCATCTTATGGTCGCCCTGGTTATGGAAGTTGACCATGCCTGTTGAAAGCAGCTCCATCAGCGGAGGTGCCACCATACTTTTGGTCAAACCATCCGCCGTCATGCTCTCGGTAGGCGTGAGAACCAGCCAGCGTACTCGGCCATGTAGACGAGCTTCGCGGAAGGCCAAAATGTAGAGTCGTTGACCTTTGTCTTGACTGATGCTTTTGTCGCCGCTGGCCAGTTCGAAGAAATCGCGGCAGTCGGTGAAATCGTCCACCGGAAGATGTGGCAAACCGGTTTCCTGCGCTCGAAGCAACATGGAAATCGTAGGTTTCTTCTCCATGTAAAGCAGCTCTGCTAACCTGACGGTAATGAGGCTGCTCGCCTCGAGGCCACTGATCGCCGCCAGCGTCTCCGCGTGTGAGGTGCTGTAGCTTATCCGCTTCGCCTTGGCACCGTGCCCCCAAAGTAGATGCGCCTTGCCACACAGCATCTTCGTTTCCGCATCCGTTAGCACTTTCTCCGTCTCGTCCGCCTGGCTCCTCAGGCGATCCTCCATCAACAGCACCAAGACACCTTCTTGAGCATAGTGTCTGACCTTGCCTGCTGCACTGGAATCATGGATGCAGGCCAACTTGAACGGAGGTGTGAGGCGTCGGTAGTGTAGCCCGAGACCTTGTCCGATCTCGGCCTTGGCCCTTTTCACCACCAGGTTCGCCTGCTTAAGGTGTTCAACCTTCGCCTGGGTCACCTTGGACTGGAGCAGGCAGACGTCGGCGATGAGATCGACACGGGTGGCCGTGAGCCATAGCAAGCCGCCCAGAATAGATCTGAAGTGCGTCACCTCCTCGGCACACAGGGCCTCGTCGTCACGTTTGCCGGCAGGGATCGGAGCCGGCTTCAGCTTGGAGCAGAAGTCATCTTGAGTCATCGAAAACCCATCTCTGCTCCTTGAGTACAGCACTCCACAATGCACGAAAGGAAGCTGCTGCCTGGTGACCTTGCCGAACTTGACGCATAGCTTGCTGTACTGTTCTGTCAGCCACTGTGGTTTGCTGCCAGCCCCAACATCATCCACATGAGTGGTCGCCAGAGCCTGGATGCCTTGCTGTTTATTGGGCTGTGGCCAGTAGAATAAATTCTCATCCATCAAACTCGCGATGCCTCCCGTAGCTTCGAAATGCTGGTGAAGACAAAGTTGCCAGGCAAGAGGAGCATCGTTGAGTCCATACACTGGCTTCAGGCAGATGAGGATGTACTCCTCATAGCGATCGCCCGGGACTTGAAACGCCGGGTCCAAAGCCGCCAGGTGTCGCCATACGTTCAAAGGAACAACCAGCGCTACCTTGCGTAGCGGCGCTGAAATCCCCTTTGATCGCAATAGCTCCCGGATCTGTTCAAAGGTCAACCCTTTGAGGAAGGCTCCTGAGATGTCCCATGATTCGACATCGAAGTCTTGTGTGGCCGACGTCGACATCAGAATCCTCTGGCTAAGCCTTGTTGCCGTAGTAGATCTCGTGCTCAAAGACTCTCGCTGAGAGTCGAAGCATCCACTTGCACATAGTCGACTTTTCACCTTCCTGGAGCCATCCGGGTGACGTTTCCACTTCCTGACCCAGATTGCGTCGACAACCACAACGTCGTCTGTGAGGGCGTTCTTGTGCATCTTCTTGAAGGACTTGGTGTCGACGAACTGCTTCACCTCGGCTCTGTCAGATTCTTCCACCTGTGGCCATATAGTGTGAGCTTCCGACTCGTTGATGTTGTCGGTCTCCTCATCAACCTTGAAGGCCTGCCCGGTGGAAAGGTCGGCATAGAGGTCGCAGGTAACCTTGCCCGGCCAGGAAAACAAGTGCTGGTTGTGGTTCACGTAGAAAGTCGGGCTGATGTCATCAAGTTGCTTGTTGTCGCTCCAGCAAAGACATCTGCCCATGTGGTCGTCCCACAGCGCTATCATACTCAAGTTGTCGTAGTAGAGCCAGCTCATCGGGAAGTCCAGGGGAACTACTTGCCGATGTCGTGTCAAAGACGCGAGGTTCAGGAGGTTGTGGTGCGCCTTGTCGTAGATCCTCTCGCGGTTGACCACATGCATCACTGCCTCGAGCTTGCTCTTCTTGGTCTCTGGAGCAATGACCACCGTCCGTGTTTCAGGACCTTTTCGCTTGAGCATCTCCGTGTCTTCATCAACATCCATGTCGTGTTTCTCCTCCTCGCTGGGCCGATTCGTGTCCAGCGACATAGGCGATATTCCGCCACTGGCGGGAGAGGATGGAGTGCTCGCAGCGTCGTCCATTGGTTGATGGTCATCAGGTGCTCCTTCGGACGGCAAAACCTTCATGTCTCGCTGTGGTTCGTACTCCACGTTCACATAGTAGTAGACGTAGATGAAGGCCAGCTGATCCACCGGCTTGGCTGTCACCCTTCTTGAACACTATGGCTTCATCATTGTTGTGCTCATAGCATGTGAACTCGTTCTCTCCGGCAGTCCACATCACCAGGACACCAGAGGAGCCGTGAGGAGGTTGAAGTTTTCGTGCTCCTTGTCCCAGCATCGCTCCTCCAACGTTGTTGCGGGAGAAGCCTTTCCCAAGTGCGACGATTTTCGTCCACGTTTCTTGATAAGACAGTGAACTTGTCGAAGCACGCTTCCACAAACACAACTCCTCTTTCTTCTCAAGCACCCAGCCAATCGTGGTGACCTTGTACAAGGACATCTTCTCGACCAGCGTCTTGAGGTGCTGGAAAACCGCCTGCTGCTCTTGGCTGAAGGAAACAAAGACGCCCGCAGTGTGGGGCCGTATATGGCGTAGTCCCACCAAGTAGGGTCGTCCTTGGTACGACAGAATAGCGGTGCCCTCGTCGCGGTCGAGCTTGAGGAGTTCGGCTGGTCCACGCCAACCAATGTCGCCTTGTACTTCGCGGTGGAAATCGACCTTGCTGACTCCTGGAAGTAGCTCGCCAACGTGGACCTGGTGTGGCCGTGTACGGTTTGCTCTCGCTGTCCGATCCTCCGCCACAGCCCGTTGCACCATCGACAATGACATCTGTCGAATCCGCAGTGCTCGCTCAAACGGCGTGATGTCTGTCTGCACTCTCGATCTAGCTCATTCGGTGTCATGGAGATTCCTTGACGATCCATCTCCGCCTCAAGCTTTGCCATGGTGAGCTCCATCAGCTGAACACGTCGTTCAATGAGCCCTGTTCCTGTATGCTGCTTGGCGGCAGGGCCTGCTGTCGTTCCTTTGGGAACACGCTCTATCGAAAAGCGTTCCATCTCATGCCCTGCTTCATGACCCATCAAGGACGTCTCCTGATCCATAACGATCTG